TTCCCCAAAGTGTCACAACGATGACGCAGTTCGAGTTCCCTCGAAGGGGAACCAGAAATACAATGATTACATGATTTTTCTGGGTCGCCGTGGAAACGGCCTTTATGTGCAGGCAAGCGGGCCGTGGTACCAGCTTGTTTACTGCAAAATACACTGGAACAGTCGCATTTTCTGGAACTGAACGAGCGAAAAGTTTCGGTGGAAGTCTGGCCGCGGCGAGACTAAACTTTTATCTGCTGCGAGAGCCGGGATCGAACACGGGTCTCTCGCGTGAAAGCTTGGGGTTCCGCCACTGGGCCACATGGAGAACTACACTAGCACAAGCAGATAAGAGAGCGTCATCACAGTTTTGTGTGTGTCGGCGTTTGTATGCAGGTGTGCGTGTTATACAACAGGCTCATTGCTGCAATAATGACATTTTCAGCCGCTCAAACTAGGAGCTGAGAAATGTTTGAGAAATGGAGATTAGTCCGGCCTCGGCGGGGACTAAAACACACTCTTTTCTCATTTGCCGGTGACGCACGCCCATGGGGGGCGGGGTAGATTTCTTATAACGTAAATAAAGCTAGCCGCGGTTTTAGCTCGCGGTCTTGATGCTGGCCCGTTTCCTTGACGACTCGCGGACAGAAGGCGGAGGTCCACAGAGCTCGCCTGTTGCGCGGCCGTTGCGCGGGCGCCTCCCAATCGAGGCCGATGCTTTCCACGGCCCGAGAGAGGAGACGCATCAGCTCAGTCTCAATGCCGGTTCTCTTACCAGTGGTCTGGCGGGAAACGCTAGCGGAGGGGAGGTCCACGGAGCTCGCCCAATCCTCGCTATCGGATTCCAGAAGAGAACACGCCTCGGTGGGTTCGTCGAACTCGTGGACGGACGCGGCGGCAGGCGGCGGCCGTTGTCCGTCAGTGAGCGACTCGAGCAAAACCGGCGAAGCTGGCGGGCGAACCGGCGAGCTTTGGCGGGCTGGAGAAAGCTCGGGAGCGCGCTGGGCGCGGCGCTTCTTGCGGTGCGGCACCACGGCGGGCTGCGGTGAAGGCTCGGAGAATGATGCCAGGCGAGTCCTCAGAGTCACCATAGGCAGAAGCTCGCAATGAGGGCATCCGCCGTCAGCGAGCGCGAGAGCCGCGTGATCCTCACCCAGGCAGGAAACACAGATGACGTGCCGGTCTCCATCGCTGAGCGGGGCGCGGCACGAGCCACAGGAAGGCATCTTTAAAAAGACGCAGCTCTTTTGTGAGAGAAGTGTGAGTCGCGTCAAGTAAGCGAGCAAACACTCTCAACAGAGTAAAGATACACAGAGTATAAAAAGGATATAGAACGCCGGAAAGCGCAGCAGGTACGGCAGTTGAAGGCGGCGAGGCCAGCGACTCCAGAGCTCGTCCCGCTGAAAGGCTTGCTTCGACGGCGCGGCTTCTCACTCCGGATCCAGCGATGCGTGTGCGTCGCTGAAGAGATAAAAATCAGCTTGTACCAGCCTAACGAGCATATTTATAGGGTGAGACCACGCCCTTTCTGGCGGGACGTGACGATATGGGCGCGAATTGCCCCCATTGGTCATTACGTCACGCAGAGTCTCTCTCGATAGGCTGCTGCATTTGCCGCAAGAGCAACCAATAGGCGCGCGAGCTGTTTCGCCTATGTCTGCTTGCTGCTGCAAAGCGTTTTACATTAATAAAAAATTAAGGATAATTTTTGGCTTCAATATCTCGTGGAAAAGAGTTTTTCCCCTAGCGTAAAGCTATTACGCAGTACGAGAGATACTCTCGTAAGAGAACTGATAACATATAGGCTACACAGGGAACGTAACAATGAAGTTATTGAATGAAACATAAACACAGCTTTTGTGTCTTTATAATCTTTTCCGCATATATACTGACCCAGATAATAATAACAAAAACTTAATGCATGCTCAATTGCTGTAATGAGTTTTTATGAATGAATGGCTTGCTCTAACTGTTGCTCGTCTTCGTCAACAACAACACGCGCTTTCACCCCCTGCTGGTGAGGTCGACTAACAGCAGATAGAGATTATGCTCGGTAATCTACTGCTTTTCCTGAAGTTGAATATTATAGGTTGTATTAAACAGTTTGAATATTTTGGAAGTGAAATATGAAAGGTGAATATGGATTATTGAAATTTTAATGATTAAAATGTGTTTGAAATGTTTTGAATTGAAATATTCACAGTTTAAATATTCAACCATGTTGAATTTCAGCCCATAAAAAGGCAAGCCCTAAAATACAATGCATTAAAATGCAATCATGGTTAATGCAATGCACATTTTTTTCAAGTAGTGCAATTCAACAGGCTTTTTTGTTTCAATAATATTTGGCATTATTATTTTACTTACATAGTACTCGATTTTAAAAATCCTCGACTGCAATTTATCTGTGTCGTATAAGTGACAAAATACTAGAAGTGGCGCATTCCATGGAACTAGATGATTAGACCATTTTCTAAGGCTGAACGATGTATTAAAAAAAATAAAACCTATACCATACATAGTGCCGTTGTGAATTCACAAAGGCTGCTATTCTATTAAATAAAATATATGCCCTGCGGACTATTTAATATATATATATATATATATATATATATATAATTTTTGCAGGTTAAAGGGTTAGTTCACCCAAAAAATGTAATTACCCCATGATTTACTCACCCTCAAGTCATCCTAAGTGTATATGACGTTCTTCTTTCAGACAAATACAATCAGAGTATATATTAAAAAAAATGTCCTGCTGGCTCAAGCTTTATACTGGCAGTGAATGGCCGTTTATGTTTTGAAGTCCATAAAAGTGCATCCATCCATCATAAAAGTGCTAAGTGTAAGAAATATTCATATTTAAAACTTTATCGACTAAAATAACAGCTTCCGGTAGATCCCCAGGACACGGGACATTTAACATACACCCATATACATTACGAGACATTGCGTCCAAATTTGTGCCCCTTCCTGAGAAGTTTGCAGTGTGGAAACTACTCCAAAACATATCTCCTTGGGCTTTAAGAACCATAGGAAAAGGCAACAGAAAACAATTTGTACACCATCCTCCGCGTTTCAACGGCGTGGTCTCCACTACTGTGAATCCGGGACAGGTGCACTTGCTGATACAAAAGCTGCAACTCTGCATAAAACATGTTCCCCTCCCAGACAGACTGTCAGGTTATTACAGCCACTATTTTCTAGTTCCCAAAAAAGATGGAGGGTTGTGTCCATTTTCAGACCTTCGTGGTCTGAACCGTTATTTCAGAATATTCAAGTTCGTTCTATTTATAGCCTCTGATGTAGGGATGTCCCGATCAGGTTTTTTTGCCCTCGAGTCTGAGTCCGAGTCCGAGTCATTTGATTTTGAGTATCTACCGATACCGAGTCCCGATCCGATACTTATATAATACATAAAAAAAGAATAAAGAAGAGAGAAAAAACAGATCCGATTTTCCTTATTTTTTATTTAATTCACCATATTTTAACATTTAACAACTCTGTTAACAAACAGAGCACTTCTGTGAGGTAGCTTGAACAATCAAGTAGCCTAATAACATAAAATCTTCACTTTTGGACTTTAGTGCAACAGTACATATAGAAAAAGTCTAATATAAAAACAAATAGCACCTCAACTTAAAATGCCCGGCAGGCATGTAAACAAAAAATAAAAATGTTTTAAAAGTGTATAAAAAATAATGAGAATATATATATATATACATTAGGGGTGTAACAGTTCACAAAATTTGCGGTTCGGTTCGATACGATACAGCAAAAAGAAAGAAATGCCAGAGAAATTTCCTATTTATTAAAAGAAAAACTATTTTTAAATAAGTTTGAGTTTTCCTACATCTTGAAACTTTCAGGTTTATAAATAATCTTTGAAGGATGAACAAATAATGTTTTGGTAATCACATTAAAAATAACATTTAAATATATATTTATATAATATTTGAGTTTTGAAGTGCAACATTAAATCCATGCTCATTCACGGCACAATGTTTCTCCTGGTTCCCACATCAGCGCTGTTTGATCTAATAGAGATCTACGGTTAATAACGGAGAAACTTGAATGCTTCTCACTAGATCTCACAGCGATGTTATTACTTCAGTGGCGAATTCAAATGTTTTCTTCACTGGATCTCTTAGCACAGTGTCGCTTGATCTCGCGCTGCACAGATGTTGCTTGTCCGAACTGATATGGTCCGTTAAGCACAATATAATGAGAAGCGCAGTTTCGTTCCGCTTTCATTACGTTTGCCATTTGATGTTGCGCAACGTTGTGGTGATCGCGCCAGCACGGATTTTGTCTGCAGGAAAAATGGTCCTAGGAATCGTTCGGTTTGTATGCGTACCGAACCGGAAGCCTTGTACCGAAACGGTTCAATAATTACGAATACATGTACCGTTACACCCCTAATTTACATATATCCGAGTCCTGATCGGGAGGTAACGTCCGATTCCGATCGAGTCTGAAACCACGTGATCGGGCCCGATTTCCGATCGCGTGATCGGATCGGGACATCCCTACTCTGATGTGTGCATTCCGGTAACGTCATCATTAGAGGTTATTTCAGACAAATTCTTTGCCATGTTTGCCACACGTTTACAAACGGACAAACAAAGATGTTTTCCCATAGCGCTTCAATCAAGCGCAGCAAATCGCTCCCGCTTTTTCAGGGAACATGGTTACCATCAAGTAACCCGAGACATTTCCAATAATTTATCTTTGGCTGCATTGTCATGATTTCCTAATTTGGGATATGATCAAAGTTTGAGTAAATTTGCATGTTCTGGGAATTTGGTTATTGAAAATTTAACATTTTAATTGAACTTTGTTCAAATGAATGAAATGACTTAGAGTTAATTTTGTTGAACGATATTCAAAGATCCAAGTAAAATGATCCAATCTTCGATTTCCTTCCTGTAATTATTGCATCAGATTATTTCTCAAGGATTACAACAGTGTTCTGTAAACTTTTTATTAAATTCAGCTTTTTTGTTTCCTCTTGGCTTCAGTGTGAGTGGAAAAACAGGGAAGTCACTGCAGGAGGAGATTGATAAGTTCAGTATCAGCCACAGTGTCTCTGCTCATTCCAGATCTTCCATGTTACGCCACATTCAGAAATTCATTAAAACAGAGGTGAGTTCAGTTGTCCGTAATCTGGCCCTTGTCCTCTGTCTGTCTTTACTTCAATTGAAGAATATTCAAATTCCGTTTCTTTCAATTAAACAGACCGTTTTTATAAACCAGTTGATGTTGAAATGTACAGAAGTGAGCACAGTCCTTGAGATATACAGTGTGTATGTGTGTATATATATATACAGGTCCTTCTCAAAAAATTAGCATATTGTGATAAAGTTCATTATTTTCCATAATGTAATGATACTTTCATATATTTTAGATTCATTGCACACCAACTGAAATATTTCAGGTCTTTTATTGTTTTAATACTGATGATTTTGGCATACAGCTCATGAAAACCCAAAATTCCTGTCTCAAAAAATTAGCATATCATGAAAAGGGTCTCTAAACGAGCTATTAATCTAATCATCTGAATCAACTAATTAACTCTAAGCACCTGCAAAAGATTCCTGAGGCTTTTAAAAACTCCCAGCCTGTTTCATTACTCAAAACCGCAATCATGGGTAAGACTGCCGACCTGACTGCTGTCCAGAAGGCCATCATTGACACCCTCAAGCAAGAGGGTAAGACAGAAAGAAATTTCTGAACAAATAGGCTGTTCCCAGAGTGCTGTATCAAGGCACCTCAGTGGGAAGTCTGTGGGAAGGAAAAAGTGTGGCAAAAAACGCTGCACAACGAGAAGAGGTGACCGGACCCTGAGGAAGATTGTGGAGAAGGACCGATTCCAGACCTTAGGGGACCTGCGGAAGCAGTGGACTGAGTCTGGAGTAGAAACATCCAGAGCCACCGTGCACAGGCGTGTGCTGGAAATGGGCTACAGGTGCCGCATTCCCCAGGTCAAGCCACTTTTGAACCAGAAACAGTGGCAGAAGCGCCTGACCTGGGCTACAGAGAAGCAGCACTGGACTGTTGCTCAGTTTTGCATGTCATTCGGAAATCAAGGTGCCAGAGTCTGGAGGAAGACTGGGGAGAAGGAAATGCCAAAATGCCTGAAGTCCAGTGTCAAGTACCCACAGTCAGTGATGGTCTGGGGTGCCATGTCAGCTGCTGGTGTTGGTCCACTGTGTTTTATCAAGGGCAGGGTCAATGCAGCTAGCTATCAGGAGATTTTGGAGCACTTCATGCTTCCATCTGCTGAAAAGCTTTATGGAGATGAAGATTTCATTTTTCAGCACGACCTGGCACCTGCTCACAGTGCCAAAACCACTGGTAAATGGTTTACTGACCATGCTATTACAGTGCTCAATTGGCCTGCCAGCTCTCCTGACCTGAACCCCATAGAGAATCTGTGGGATATTGTGAAGAGAAAGTTGAGAGACGCAAGAGCCAACACTCTGGATGAGCTTAAGGCCGCTATCGAAGCATCCTGGGCCTCCATAACACCTCAGCAGTGCCACAGGCTGATTGCCTCCATGCCACGCCGCATTGAAGCAGTCATTTCTGCAAAAGGATTCCCAACCAAGTATTGACTATTGAGTGCATAACTGAACATAATTATTTGAAGGTTGACTTTTTTTTTGTATTAAAAACACTTCTTTTATTGGTCGGATGAAATATGCTAATTTTTGAGACAGGAATTTTGGGTTTTCATGAGCTGTATGCCAAAATCATCAGTATTAAAACAATAAAAGACCTGAAATATTTCAGTTGGTGTGCAATGAATCTAAAATATATGAAAGTTTCATTTTTATCATTACATTATGGAAAATAATGAACTTTATCACAATATGCTAATTTTTTGAGAAGGACCTGTATATATATATATATATATTTGTATTTGTTTCATTTGTGGCTTTTCTCCCCTTTTTGAAAGGAAACTAAACGGAAGGCATCGCTCAACGGAGAGATTATTGATATAAAGAAGGACATCTACTTATCAATCCAAGAAACTATTAAGAATGAAATGGCTTCTTGCTATGAACGTAAGTTAGCATTTAAAGTTTTAATTAATCACAAACTATTTATTTAAAAAAAATTCTTGAAAACAACTTTATGTTAAGTAAAAAGGAGTAATAAAAATAATCACTACAAGAAACACAAACCCAGAAAAAATCTGTGTGACCAGTACAGTGACTTGGGCCTGTAACGTGAATGTTCTGTTTTATTGACATTGAGTTTTGGTTTTCCCTGTTTGCCTGCCCATCTGTGTTCGTAGTTAGTTTTTCTTGTTTACTAATTTCTTTCATCATGTCTCCCTACTGTATGTATTTAAGCCCTGAGTTTCATTCTGATCCTTTGTCCGGTAGTGTTTAGTGGTTGTGTTCTCGTTTATCTCCTGTGTTTTCCTGTATTCTAAATGGATTTATTAAAGACTATTTTTGTTGCTATGCTCCTTTATGCGTTCTTTACAGCAACCATCTGTGACAAGGTCAAGATCTATTTTTTTAATAAGTTGTTAAAGACCTGCTGGTAGATTCAACTCAAGTGTGACCTGCTATTACTGAATGTGACAGCAAGTGTAACCTGACTCATTTTGTGAATGCAATCAATTACATGACACAAAATAAAGTATTTGAAGGCAAAAAGAAGTTACTTTAATGCATTTTGTTCAGAGAAAGCCAGTTGCTTTTCATCAACAGTGTTTTTTTCTGATTCAGTCAGTAGCTTTTATTGTACTTGCCATCATTTTCACTACTATTTTCACAACTATGTTCACAAGTTCTACTGCAAAAATTTTTCTTTCTGATGTGTCTACATGAGAACGACAATTAATTAATACGGGTTGTTTATTTTAGAAGCTGCAGCAATGACAGGAATCGGGTCCATGAAGAAAAGGCAAGACATGCTAATAACCACAGTCGATAAGATAAAACACGACATGTTTAACAAAGCAAAAATGGAAATGCTTAAAAGGTTCAATAACTTAAAGGTATGGATCTTACATTTATTGAGACAAGCATGTATTAATTTTCACAATGACTAAACTGAATCTTCTTTGTGAAGCTGTACATAAAAGATAAACTTGAATCCGGACTAAAGGGATCAATGGAACTCTCACGGTCACAAACCAGCAATATCAAATTGATGGGTAAGAGAAAATATCATCCAACTACAACACAGAAACAAGTAAAGAAATATAGACTTGTTATTCCCAATCGCTACCTCATCTTAATCATCTCAAGCACTCAGACATGAATGAACAAAATGAACAACATCCTGTATCATGGCTTTTCTAGATGTTTCCAGAGAGAACGAACAACTAGAGAGACTGTCAGGACAACTGAAGAGACTGTAGCCCAAGAGAAATGGCACAATCAACAAAGGAAACAAACACATTAAAATGCAACACGCTTTTAATACATGTTTTTACAACAAATGTTATCTTTTTATCTTTTATTTATTTTTTACTCGCATTTATTTGTCTGTGTTGCTATATTTTTCTAAATGTTTGTTTGGAAGATGTGTTTTTCGAGAAGTTGTTATTTCACATGTTCCTTTGCCCATCGAATCTTTAGGCTAAAGTATTTAGCTTGCTGTCGCAGTGGAGGTGCTCGAGGAAGCAGCTTCAACCCAAGCTTAGATATACCCCCTAAAAAGTGTTCATTAGATTTAGGACAGCAAGCTGGAAAACACACATTCAAAGCTGGTGGCTGTATTTGCCAAGGTAGATTTGGCTTTTAAGTAAGGAACACCCCCAATAGCAGTAAGGAGAATGATCAATGAAGGATACGAGGTGAGGGATAATGACAGCAAATCTGCATATTAGAATGATTTCCGAAGGATCATTTGACACTGATGTCTGGAGTAATGATGCTGAAAATTCAGCTTTGCATCACAGGAATAAATTACATTTCAAAATATGTTCAAATTTAAAATATTTATTTTCAATTGTAATAATATTTCACAATATTCCTGTTTTAATATATTTTTGATCAAATAAATACAGCATTGGTGAGCATAAGATACTTATTTTAAAATCATTAAAAAACAAATTCCCAATCCCAAACTTTTGAACGGTAGTATATATCAGTCATTGTTGGCACCCTTGGTAAATATGAACACTAAATAAATCTGCATTGCTAAACTTACATTGAAGAAAAATAATAAAAAATATGTGGGAAAAAAACTGTTTCTCTCTAATGCACATTGGCCACAATTGATGACACCCTTTTATTCAATACTTTTTGCAACCTCATTTTGCCAAGATAGCAGCTCTTGAGTCTTCACCTATAATCCCTGTGTAGTTTGGAGAACACCTGACTAGAGATCAGAGACCATTCCTCCATACAGAATCTCTCCAGATCCTTCAGATTCCCAGTTCTATGTTGGTGACTTGGTTCAGGTCAGGGGACTGGGATGGCAGAAGCTTCATATTGTGCTCAGCGACCCATTTTTGTGTGGATTTTGGTGGGGTTTTTGGATCATTGTCCTAATGGAAGATCCAACCATGGCCCATTATAAGATTTCTAGCAGAGGCTGTCAAGTTTTTATTTGATAGAATCCACAATGCCTTGTATCTAAACAAGATGTCCAGGACCTCCTGCAGAAAATTAGGCCCACAACATTAAAGATCCAGCAGTATATTTAATCATACACATGGGGTACGTTTTATCCCTGTTTACATCAAAACCAACTTGTGAGTTTGCTGCCAAAAAGCTCTTTTTGTAGTTTCATCTGACCATAGAAGCCGGTCCCAGTTGAAGCTCCAGTAGAGTCTGACAACGGAATATGCTGGAGTTTGTTTTTGGATGAGAGCAGAGGATTTTTCTTGAAACCCTCCCAAACAACATGTGGTGATGTAGGGGCTATCTGATTTTTTTTTAGGCTTTCTGACACCAAGACTCAACTAATTTCAACAATCCTTCATGCAACTCTGATCCTTGAATCAGAGTCTTTGGTCAAACATTCCTCCTTGCCGTGCATTAAGACAATATATCTTCCAGGCAGATGTGTATCATCTTTAGTAGATTTGAACTTTTTAATTATCTCCCTGATGGTGGAAATGGGAATTTTCAATTCTTTAGCTATTTTCTTACAGCCACTTTTTCTATTTTGTGAAGCTCAACATCTTTTTGCTGCACAGCAGAACTATATTGTTTTCCTTTACCCGTTGTGATAAATGATTAAGGGAATTCAGCCCAGGCTCAATGGAAAAACATAGGCCTACCTGTAGCAACATTTCTGCAAAATGATATGTCCTGTGAGTGGCGGTAAAAGGTTTATGCTCATACAGTCCATGGTGCTGGAACAGTGATGAAAAAGTCTAAAATTAGGGTGGGATAGTGTGGGAGACGATACCTCCACGCTGAAGTCAATCAGCCAGTCCTCAGTCTCAAAATCCACCAAAATACCTTCGGCCACTGATGTCGTAGGATCTCACCCCTGGTCAACTCACTGGGGGGCTCCTCTTCCAGGGCGAGGGTCCAATTTGATTTCTTATCTTAGGGCACTGGCTGACACGCCGCAGCAAGTGGTAACTCTCCGTCTGCGGGGGGCTCACACGTTCTGGACTAGGGGTAATCATTCCCTTAATCATTTTAGCTCCAACCTTAACCAAACACACCTGAACAAGCTAATCAATGTCTTCAAGATTATTAATGCTGCATTCTCGCTATCTTGTAATTACCGTAGTCTCAAGATGACAACACATGACGTTATTCGATTAGAGGGCAGATCGCTTGTTTTTTAAATCGCTCTTGCGTTACTTTGATTTCATACACCGATCGGTCAGCGCAGTTCAAGTCGAACACCTACAGTATGTGTTTCTATGACACCAATATCAACACCTATGAATCTGCAGCGGTCAGGTGCTACATTAGTCATGTTCAAGTAGGAGCTCTCAGACAATATGCATCTCACAAGCTGTAATTACGAGCTCTACGATGACGTGAATGCTTTTTACAAGTTAAAATCGTGTAATTGCGGTAATTACGACATGACGTGAATGCACTTTAAAATGGAAATGAAGCAGTCAGTCAAGTTTACATTATTTAGAAAACTGACTTTCACTCTAATAAAAAAAATATATATAACAACCACGATTAATGTACCGTAAAACTTCAAATAATAGCCGAGTCCCAAATAGACGCCTGTCTCTTTTACACGCCTGGTGTGGCTGCAGGTTTGGGTAAATAAAGGCCGGTCTCAAATAGAGGCCGGGTCTGTTTTTTAGTTTCGGGTTGTATTTAATCCTCTAAAACCGCCAGATCGCCCGCTTTTTGGCGGCCGCCAAAGCACATTTTTGTCCCTCCAAAGCCTTTTTTTGATCGATGAGTGATGTAGAATAGAATGACTGCTGCGCTTGACAGGGCGCGTTACGAGGAGAGAGAGAGAGAGAGAGAGCGCCCCGACCGCGCGCGCGCACTCTCCCGTCTTCAAACAACGAGCGCTGTCTTGCTCTCTCTCCCTCGCGCATATTAATCAAAATCAATTGACGCGATAGTAAAAGGTCGGAAGACCGCAGTTTCACGTAGAGCATTTGGAGATTTTTAGAGATTAGAGATAGGCCTATACACTCAATGAACGACATCTCAACACTAAATTATAAAGGCCTGTCTCATATAGATGCCTGTCTCAAATACAAGCCGGTGCAGTTCGACGATTTGGGTAAATAAAAGCCCGGGCTACCATTTGAAGTTTTACGGTAACCATTTTAAAGAAAAAGGGATGTTTTGTTATAGCTTTTGGAGCAAGGGCGCCGCCATCTTGCAATACCACAGCGCGTGACGTCACGGGGTTGGTTGTCTACAATTTCTTGCCTGCAGGTAAATAGATATAGTACGTTTATCAGAGCGAAAAAAAATTGCACTGTGTACGCCCAGCTTAATATAAGTATTTCTTTATTGTTTGAACACATTGTTCTCAAATGGAGGGTTTGTTCACAAACTTGAAAGGACTGTTGAGCCCGTAATAGGTCATCATGACGTTCTAAACTGCCACCAGGCAGTGAAGCCACCGGAAGTGTTCGAGTGGCAATCTTACGATTCCCTACCAGCAGAGGGCTCCAATGGCCGTTATAAAGAGATTGGTAGCTCCGATGGCACTTTTAAGATGACCTGCTGTGCAGCATACAAGTGTAAAACGAAGTTCACAAAAGGATCTTGAAAAACTGCCCACAGGTTGAAATTTAAGCCCATAAGTAGTCATTTATATGCACAATTGTCACTATTTCCGTATTGTTTTCTCCGAGGCAAGAGTAGCCTAATGGTGCGTTCACACCGGACGCGAATAGCGCGTCAGGCGCGAGTGATTTCAATGTTAAGTCAATGCAAAGACGCGTTACGCGCGTAAAAAATTCCTGCGGCGCGAATGAGGCGTAGAGCGCGGCGCGGTAGACACGAATACGCCTCATTCGTGCGTCAAGTTCGCGCGAATGGCCCGAATTGAAGCGTCTGGCGCGGAAGCGCGTTACGCGCGAATGATTTAGTTAGTGCTATTTGTGCATTCACGCGTTTGACGCGAATTCGCGTCTGCCGCCCGAGTTGAAAAATTTGAACTTCTGCGTCAATTCGCGCCGCGTTAACCAATCAGGAGCCTGCTTGCTGCTGTCACGTGGTGAAGTGAAAGTTTATGTTATTTTAATAAATTATTTTGTAATATTACTAAAATGTCTGGTGTGGTTCTAATGCACAACAAACCAAATCTTTCACATAAAATCTCGATTTTAATATATGAGAGATAGTATCATTTTGTATTGAATGCTATTTATTCCATATCTATTTTAGATTATATGAAACATTATTATTTTAATGTAAAAACAACAAACACTTAGTGTATAATAAATAAATAAAAATCACAGGACAGGTTTCACTTTTGGAGGCTGGCTCCATTTATTATCAAATAAATGTGCGGGCGAGGGTGAACCTCGCGCCGGGCTGTAGAGCGCGGGCTCGACAGGCATAGACCACTCGAGGCCGAGGCTTTACACGGCCTACGCTGTCCTCGTCAGCGTCCTCACCGTTAGGTCCACCAAACCTAGCTCCTGGAACAAATGGTGAAACTCCTGAAATAACACAGTCTCATCCCAAGAAGTCATATAACTGACGTCTTGGGACGTCTTTTGACCATACGTCAATATCCGCCTTTTTAGGGTACCCTTAAACGTCGGTTTATGACGATCCTGGGACGTCATACAACTGACGCTTTACCTTTAACGTCAGTTAGGTGACGGGGTAGGTTTAGGGGTAGGTTTAGGTCTGGGGTAGAGTTAGGATCCAATAACGTCATCTAACCGACGTTTAAGGGTACCCTAAAAAGGCGGATATTGACGTATGGTCAAAAGACGTCCCAAGACGTCAGTTATATGACGTCTTGGGATGAGACTGCGCTGCCTGAAACCCTCCGGAGGGTCTGGTGGATCCGAGTACAGCGACGATGTCCCCTACGCAGCTGTTTCTGCTCTCCAGAGCAAATACGAGCGGTGACTCTCTTGATTAATGCTAATGCTAATGCTCGAATAAACATCTAAAAAAGATGGCCGCCTCCGGATTTCGCTTCTGACGCGCGTAAATTTCGCTTCAAACTTTTGTTTTTACGCGCGTCAGTTTCACTCTTGACGCGCGAATTAACACAAAGTGGTCAAGCGTCAAACTAGACGCGGTAGACGCGAATTTGGTGCGCTATTCGCGTCCGGTGTGAACGCACAGTAATGCTTCTTCTTCTTCATCTCCCTCCCCCCCCCCCCCCCC